TATGCACTTATTAAATAAGCTAATATTGACAGAGAGCAAGTGCGAGAACGGGTTGCTATTGAGCCTCCCCATTGCCTTTCAGCTTTTCTATAATTTCCTCAATATTTTGCTGATCTGATTTACCCTCTACTTTTGTCAGGTTTCTTAAATGAGATTGGCTTTTCGCTTTTCTCTCTCCACGGCGTCTGAGTCTCTCTCTGAAGCTTCTGAATCCCTTGCATTAACACTGCCTACAGTCCCAGTGTTCCCGCTGATTGTTGGATTACCCTCCGGATTCTCTTAGTTTACTGCAGATATCATCCAACCAAGATTCCATTGCAGTGTTTGTTGCAGATCCTCAAAATGTTCCATTAGATCATTCTGGCCATATTGCAGTTCTTTTATTTTAACATAAATGTATTTATCCTTATTCTCATGAATATTAGCCTGTTTATTCTCACCCATTGTTACCTCATTATTCTCCATAGTATTGTTAGACTTATTGAATTTCCCATTACAGGTAATGTAGTAGAAGTGAAAAGGGCCTTTGCTTTCTGGTTCCTCGTTCTTGTATGCATCGCATAGGGCGTCTGAGACCCTGTGACATTTACTATGGTGCACCAGGTGCTACAACAGTTAGGACATGATGCAATTGCAATTTCAAGACAATAACTACCTTTGCTTCGTCCAGAATGAAGTATTTAAAAACATAATATTGTTTGCCACATTTGATCAATATGTGAGGACGTTATGTACATATGAGAGAGAAACATAGCTGAGTCACAAGCTCCACCAGGTGTCCTGGTGGGGCCAAGTATGTACAGTTCCCCCAGACAAACAGCCATTCATCCGTCGGATGAGTGGATGAGACAGGTGGATACAACAACAACTCCTGTCTCAGCAGGACGGCGGAGAATAACCAGACCACATACAGAGGTGGAAGTAAGAAGTGAGAAACAGTGGCAACAATGGAACACTCATAAAGGTACAGTATTAACAACGGAAATAAAAGACTAAAAAAAACTAAGAAAACCAAAGACAATGTCCTCCCCCCCACGACACGTTCTGTACGGGTTCAATATTAGGTTAACCCAGCTCATCAGCTTGTTGGTGTTGACACTGTGATGCACGCCAGCGGTGTTGGGCGGTGTGGTGGTGGCTATGGTGGCTGGTGTGTTGGAGAACACAGGTGGTGATGGTGGCAGTGTTGGAGAACACAGGTGGTGATGGTGGCAGTGTTGGAGAACACAGGATACCATATACAGCTGGTATATGTATACCAGCTGTATATATGGTATCACATATACAGCTGGTATATATGATACCATACATATCATATGATATATATGGTATCATATATATGGTATCTTCAGTATATATGGCATCTTGATTTGCAATAGAACACAATAGGTATAATAATATTTAAAAATACAGTTAATTACAGCACTGTACTTGTACAATAACATCTGTATGGAACACTATTTAACAAACCTGAAAATATGCGTATTGCCCGAAACGCTATATGCGTATTAGTGGCTTTAGGTATTGTATGTACTAGCTCTGTCTATAAATCCAACATTATGTTTGTAAATCAACTATGTATGTACTTTTCCCGAATCAAAATTTATTTACTTATTTATTATTTTATTTATTAAACAAATTTAAACTTTCCTCTTGTTGAGAAGCTGTGTAGCCTTCTTACTCACTATTACGCGTAAAGGTTTTATGCAGTGTGCAAAGTACTGTATAATTCCAGTATGTAATTGTGTTCCAAGTTAGTGAGGCACCGATGCTGGAGCCAGCTGTCGGTTGCTGCGTGGCTCATGCCTCGACATGAATCGGTTTCGAGTCGAATCCAAGTCGGTTTGATCGAGTCGGATTTGTATTGCGAAATATTTCAAGTGTATCAATAAATGATTGTAAGTGTTTTCTCAATAAAAAATAGAGATGTGTGTTGTTTTACCCAGTTCAGGTAATGTATTTTTGCTATATTTAATTTTTGCTATATTTAATGTTACGACAGGCTGTGGCGGCCATGCAATGGAAATCGAGGGCTAGCTAAGACGAAATCTTGTGAATTCACTTTTTCTGTGCTAATGATAGAACATACAGTTACATTGACTAATATGTAGCTATTGTTGAGAACAATAATTAATATGTTGTAATACTGTAATAAAATTGACAAACTGACTTACTTTTTGCGAAGCTGAAGATTGCGAAGCTGTGAAGATTACGGCATCCTATGCGGCACTTATTTTGTATTGTTCAGTATAATGTGGTACAATACTGTTCACGATAGTGTATGCTGTACAAGGATTCTATAATTCACTTTATAAAACTATACATTATGTACGCATATTTTCAGACCCTCACTTCACGTAACAGCTAGGTCTACTGCTAATTTGCGTGAGAGTAATGCACCGCACTTCAATAACAAAAAAAATGTTGACTAACAGCTGTAACCCACTTGTATAACTGAAGCTTATTTCAGTATTTACAGTGTGTACAGTATATCGTTTTTTCAGGGATTAATTATTCATCAACACTTGCAATACTGTACTCTATACTTTTACACTAATTAATATGCCTTTCAATCATAATTTATATCGTCAGATGAGGCTGCATGACTTGTCAATGCATTCGGCGAGTGCTGCATGGCTTGTAGTATTCGTTGTCAGATGAGGCTGCATGACTTGTTGATGGAAATTCAGCATCGGCGGTGCAGCATGGCTTCTAGACGAAGTTCTTTAACGGCCAGTTGAAATTATGAATTTATCAATTTTCGCCTGAATCGCCAGATTCACGAAGCAGTTACGCAATCACTTACGAACGTGTACATCTTTCCTCAATCTTTGACACCTTTGGTTACATTTATTAAACAGTTTACAAGCGTGAAAACTTCCCAATCAACTGTTGTGATTATTATAAACAGCCTCCTGGTGCTTCGGGGCTCATTAACTGTTTAATAATTGTAAACAAAGCCGCCAAAGATTGAGAAAAGATGTACAAGTTCGTAAGTGCTTGCGTAACTGCTTCGTGAATCTGGCCCGGCTCATGTTTACTTTTTCTTAAATATTCAATGAGGTCCTCAATTTGTTGCAATCTTTTCTGATATCTGACCCCCTCTAAGCAGGTACTGGGTACAGCTCTCCACATAAACCGTCTCGTCATAATTAGACACTTAATATTTGCTTAAATTATTGCTGACAAGGTACTGGTTTAATTTATTCTCGAATGATTTAACATTAGTGGTATCAGCACTTGAAGCCTCACCAAAAATTTGTTTGGTGTTTGAAATGTTAAGCAGAGCCTTAACTCTTCCAATCCCCCATCACTTGCAGTGAAATCTTATATATACCTAATTGAATGGCAAGTTTATTTGCAGCAACTTTAAGCTCTTCAAATCATATAGCAATGCCAATTGTGCGGTGCTGAATAAACCACTTATACAGTGCAGCGCCAAAGTGTAGATACTAGTCAGCCTTTTACTGCCTTTCTCTAACATGCAGCACCAGTGTGAATATGTGAGCACACACTCTAGTGCTCACATATTTTCATAACATTTCCTTGTGTGTGTGTGTGTCACTGACTGTGCTGCTCCTGCATCACAATATCCTCTGACAAGGATCTTAATTAACTCCACAGCTTTTGCCCAATCGTCAGGGGCTTCCTTTAGGTACCTGCCTTAGCCTGTGTACTGGTACCTTTAAGTATTTTGTCGAGGTGCGGCGAAGACCGAAGACCACAATTAGCAGTAGTGCCGTTGACACGTGGAGGTATGGGCGGGAGACCACAGTAAACATTGACCACACTCGCGCCCAGTACATTCATGTCCACCAGAAAGAAAAATGTCCAGTGCCTGTACTATAAAAGGTATATAATAAAACAAATAAAAATCTTAATAACAATTGTTTCCAAATATTTTCTGAATAATAATTTGTAATTTACTTTATTAAACTGTATCTGCTGTTTAGATTAAGGACATGCCCGAAACGCTATGCGTGCTAGTGGCTTTGCAAGAATGACAAAATATCAATATTATGTAATCTCACAAACCCATTGATCTCTCTTGTAAATAAATAAGCAAATAGTATAATTTTAAAAATAGTTATGATTTAATTTACGATTGGACGATTAAAGTAACTAAACAAGAGTTTTGGTATGCCAGATTAAATTGTGTGTGATGTATATTGATGCATGTATGATTATGTATATTGATACATGTATGATTATATATATTGATAAATATATGATTAAATATATTTTAAAACCTAAAAGGGGAACCACCTCTTGTGCAAGTGTAGGGACCCATAGCCTCGGAGAAGAAAATAGAGAGTACTCAAGGAAGAGCTTGTGGATCCTCACTGAACACTGATATTGTCTTCTACCACTCCTATTCTTTTAGTGTGTGTGTGTTTATATATACTGTGTATATATATATATATATTATATATTATATTATACAGTAGTATAGTACAGTACTGTATATGGTTTACAGCATATGGTTTTACCATAACCAGACAGTTATGGCAAACTTTATGGTTTAGTATACAAGCATAGTACAGTATAAACTATAGTGTACAATACATCTAGCAAGCCTCAAAAACTGCAAGACATACACTAAAGCTGATTTAGCTACCTAGAGCTGATTTTAATTTTTCTACTCTTCATACCCAACCAGAATCCAGACTACCCTGGTGATGAAAACTTGAGCAAAAGAACTATTGATAGTAGTGACCAGCAAGCCTGCATATCTATTACAACTTGACTAAACAGACAATTGAGTGATTGGTATACGGGCCACGGAGATGGGGTAAAGTGAGAAGTTGGTAACAGAAAATGGCAAGATTATACGAGGGACAAAAAGAACAGTTCCAGCATGAACAATACATGTGATTACAAAATAGCTCGCTCACTGCATAGGGTAACTTCAGAATAAAGATTCAGATACTTTGTTATATTGCAATGTTGGGTTTACCTTACATCACATGTGACAAAAGGAATAAATTCCAAACTCTTAATCAAATCCATGGTTGTTTTATCTTAAGTAAAAGTAACAAAATTCATTAGAGCGTTCATTACTCAATATTTCCAGCAATGTATGTATATACTGTATTTACATGTGCATTATTTACTTCTAAGCATGTTCACAGGTTGGCTGGTGTACACACACACACACATGGTAGCTTTCTAAAATATTAGAAAGTTTTCTTTTGCAGAGTGATAGAAAATTTAAACAAGTTAAGTGAGAAGGTGGTGGAGGGAAAAACCATCAGTGATTTCAAAGAGTTATTTGACAAAGAGTATTGGGAAGACGGGACACCACAAGCGTAGCTCTCATCCTGTAAATACACTTAGGTAATTACACACACACACACATCCAAGAGCCAACAGCTCGATTCTGCATCCATAAATAGTAAATAAACACACACACAGTATACACAAATATGTCCCAAGAGATTCTCAAGTCATTACTAGTCAAATGATGGTTACACAGGTGGCATAGAAGATGAAATCACTTCTTCTAAACATATCTACAATTGAGTGAAAATATATGTTCACAAAAGAGGGAACTTTGCCAATTATGCATTAATCAGCAACTGATAATCCCAGCACAGTCATTCTCAAGTGATGCTGGAGTATGACAGTGCCGGTTTGCCATAGTAAGAAAGATACAGTGAATGGTCGAGACAATTTTGCGAATTCCTACCCTCCACTCCCATCTTCTCTAGAATTTTATCACGACACCCCACAGAAGTTAGAAATGAGCTAATTATGATAAAAAGAGAACCTTCATCACTGTTCTGAGAATACCACAAACATCCATCTGGAAATAACAAAACTGTACAGTACAGTATTTGTATTTATCATATATGGTGAATAGAACTACCTACACTCTAAGAGTAGGTTAGGTTAAGGCATTCCGTTTGCATTTACCACAGTCTAATGAGTTTTATAATACTCAATACCATTAGATTATGATGTTAAAAGATATATTTTATCTAATACAGTATGTTACAAATAATTTTAGAATCTAATTGTAAGGAAATTTGCCCTACATAAATTAGTTATTGCTTGACCCCTGTGTCAGGAAAGTTACCTGTGTTTACAATGCCAGTACAGTATATCCTTAACAATTTAGCTTTCTTAATTTGTCAACTTTATAAATAAACATATAATATTTTATTAAATATATTACATGTATGCTTTCAATATGAAAACTGTCTTTATAGCCTAATGTTAAATATAATTTACATTTTCTCTATTATTCATTAACTTCACCTAATGACAATATAATTATGTATATACAGTATTAGTAATATAGGCAGTAGTAACATTCTGGATGATAATATTATATGAAGACTGACTTTCAGACAATATAAATATTGACTCTGGATATTTGGCAATGGTTATAGTATTTCCAATTAGACCTAGTCAAATCATTCCTAAAAACATTATGTGTGCGCGCTAAAATTTATTAAAGAAATGCAAATTAAATAATACTTTAATACACACATTATCAGAGCCAAAATATTTAAACTTTACACTCGTACACTTTTTACCGTTTGTTCTAAACCACGCTAACTAGTCCTAAGAAAGTGCTTCAGAATTATAGAGCATAATGAGAGTAAAGAAGCACAGAGGGAAACCAAGCACAGGGGGTGGGGGGGGGGGAAAGAGCACAGAGGAAAACAAGCACAAGGGGCAACAAGAACAAGGAGCAATAGGCACAGAGGGAAAAGAACACAGGAGGAAAAGAACACAGGGGAAATGAACACCGTGGGGTAAAGAGTACAAAAAAATCTAGAAGCAAGGCTCACCAAAACATATCTTCCTCAATAAATCACAATACAGTAGCACGATATATATGAGAAAATCTTTTGGGTAGCGAGTGCATCGAGGGTGACCCGAGACACGAGTTCAATTCTATCACGTTGCTCCAAAAGATTTTTTGTGCATATCTTAGGACTTATATCATCAGTTTTACACTTCAGTTTAGAAATGCAAATGGTAAACGCTTTCAAAGACTTTTTTGCCACTTTCAAGATTCTGCCAATTGATGTCACCAGTGTGTTGCCTCATGTGATGATAAGTACGGACAATTTCTGTTGGAAATGTTAACCCACAGACCATACACTTGCAGGGATCACCATCACCATGTACATTAATGTGAAGAATTAAAGAAATCTCATCACAGAACTCTTTATAACACAACCTACATTCATGCTGTTCATCTCCGTAAACTGTCTTGCTTTTCATGCTAACAGAGTCGTTAAAATCAGTAATTAAGTTATTATTTACTACAATGGAAATTTTGCCTGATTTTTTATAATTATTAAAGTCAGTGCTTGGAGCTTGATGTTGTTTTCTTCTATGAGATAAATACTTCATATATTGATCAAACCACCTACCGCACTGCTCACATTCAAATGGACACCCATGCCTGATGTAACGCTTTTTACTTTTGAATTTCTTTGAACACACTTTACAGATGTGGTTAGTAGTATTATGAGTCATTTTATGTCTTAACATATCAATCTTAGAATAAAAAATTTGATCACATTTTGGGCATCTAACACAGTTCTTACGTCCATGCACCTTCCAATGTGATTTTAGTGAACGATAAGTCTTGTACGTCTTGTCACACCACGCACAAGGGAAAGGTTTCTCTCCAGTGTGGGACAGAATGTGCTCATCAAGACTACACTTTCTCGCAAATGCTTTTTCACAATAATCACATTTAAATTTGAGTAGCTTGTCTAACGAGTTAGCCAAGCCTTTTCGACTTTTAAACTTCATTGTGTGTCCTGAAAATTTCATTGCAAATGCTTTAACTTTTTCTGAAATATGTTCACCACTGCTATTAATTCCCAAACTTTAAATATGCCTGATTTAAGCAAAATAATTCAAGGGTGCTTGTTTTCATAGTAATGTCTAATATTGCAAATAAACCCTTACATTATATATATATATAATTAATTATCAAGTACTATAACAGTTCAGTCCTTCATGTACGTAACATCCACTTAATAAATGTTGTCAGTATCAAACTCCATAAGCATCAGAGATGTCTTGACACCTATAAAGAATAAGCAAGACATTAGGAAAAAGTTGCACATAACATTATTGTTCTTGTTGTAAGATTCATTTTTAATTTAATTCATTATGTTGGGGGGACAGGCAGCCAGTGCATATATACATGTTAGGCTTATATTGAGGGCCATCCAAAGCTGAATTACTGACCCTCCCCAGAATGTAACACCACAACAAGCCGACTAACTATTGGGGTACCTATTTACTGCTAGATGAACAGAGTCATTAGGCGACAGGAAATGCGCCAAACCATTTCTCTCCTGCCCAGTGCAGGATTCAAACCCGGAATTCCCGATTGTGAGTCGAGAACGAACCCAACCGTTACTACAGTACTTTGTAATTCCCTTTTTGAGATATTGTCAATACATTTTTTGTGTTATCTTAGATACCGAAATATGTAGTGAACAGAGCTTATTCAAACTGAATTTTCGTACTGTATTCAAGAGTTTTAGTCAATCCCAATCAGCTATCAACTAAAATATTAGATATGATTGTAACAAATAAATAAATACCTTTATTTAAAACACATTAGCACCAATTTCTTGAAATGAAACCAAGATTTCACAACCAGACCCCAAAAGTCATATTTTCTTGAGAAACTGCCAAACAAATGAGCTACTATATTAGCGTCAGATGGTGGAGTCTCTGTTGACACGAGCGCACTTTACCTCATGACCTGCAAGATACGTACACCATATATTGAACGCTAATGTTTCACATGCATTAGCTTGCTCTATCAATTTGACAAAGTACCGTACAGTGGGATCCTAATTATCCATATCACTATTTCATGGATTCTTGAATTATTTGTAAAGCCAATTATTCAGTTTTCAACCTGCATTTACCAGAGAGATTACAATATATGGGGGTCCACCACTATTACCCCAAGACATGTTGGCACGAATAGGCAGCAGCAATTATTTGTGCCAAATAAACGAGAATCAATTGGTTTCCTAAATATATATCAGGGCATTACTATTAAAACCATTACTGGTATATCATTAAGTGCATTTGTCTTAAATATTTTTTTCTATTATGTTGTTCTTCCTAACTTATCTGTAATATAAATTTTCCCGATACTTAGAGGTACTGTATTGATTACTAATGCGAGTAATCGGGGTCACACCATCTACAATTCAATCACAACATGCTAGCTTGCGATGATGCCTTAAAAATTAAATAAAAGACTAAATTAAAAAATGTAGTCTAAACTTGAAAATGGATGGGCGATTTAATCCTACTTAAAAATACTCTGTATTATAAAAATTTAATTTTATTAATTTTTTAGATTAAACGAATTATTTAAGCATAAATGTAAAAAAAAAACTCACTAAAATAACTTTACTGTTACAATTTCAAAACAAATTTTAAACAATACTGAATTGATTGAATAAGGATAATTAATAGAATTATAGATTAGGGTAAAATTACCAGATACCAGACATTTTGAGAATGCCATCAAAGTTCATGGTGGACCAAGACTCGGTTATATATTACATTTATTTCAAAACTTATGTTATGAAATATGTTATGGGCGCCTGACAGCTGAGTGGACAGCGCTTCGGACTCGTAGTCCTAAAGTTCCGGGTTCGATCCCCGGTGGAGGCGGAGACAATTGTGCAAAAAGTTTCTTTCACCCTGATGCTCCTGTTCACCTGGCAGTAAATAGGTACCTGTGAGTTAGACAGCTGCTACGGGCTGCTTCCTGGGGGTGTGCAACAAAAAGGAGGCCTGGTCGAGGACCGGGCTGCGGGGACGCTAAGCCCCGAAATCCTCTCAAGATAACCTAAAGATGAATAAAAAAATAAAAAGAGAAGATTGTGTTCTAGAAAATCACAGGAAAATCAAAGCAGTACAAAAAGAATATCCTCCAAATTCCAAAACTCCTCCTAGAGAATTCTTCTCAATAATGAATGAAATATGCCTACTGGATGTCCCCTGCAAAACTTGAACTTAAAAAAAAAAAAAAATCTAGAGCATCACACAATAATTTTCAGGAAGTCAAGTTTTGTTTTCTATTAATTTATTTTCTTGCTTTTTAAATAATTCTTTCGATAAACTACTTTTTATTATATAAACTTTGCTTATATTGTATATATTATAAATTGTACAAAGAAAGTTTCAGTTTTTGATGTGGCATCAAAAAGTCATATTGTGAGGACCTGTGTAATTTCCTTCTATGTGAGTGTGTTCTGATCTCTAAGTATAATTTAACATGTTTTCTATGAACATGTCATTTATTAGTTAGAACCATGCTGTCTAGTATGAGTAATAATGGTACATTGGGCAAGAGCCCGAGAGGATCTTCTTTACCAAAGTTAAGAAGGTCGAGTCATCAGGTAAAGAAACTAGATAATGGCTGGGGCAGGAAGATGCAGACAGAGGAGTATGGTATTCATACTAGTACAGTACTTGTTTTTTTATACAATAAAGCAAAGACTCAGATCATGGAATTTGAGTTAAATGTAGACCAGTGGTAGTAAAAGCAGTGACTAGAATATACTGAAACGCGTACATGCAGCATTGTACACAGGAGGTAGCCGTTAGTAAAGTAGTTACAGTTTGTAGGTGAGAAATGGCATAAAAGATGGGAATTGAGGATTCCAGGGCTAGTCCAGGACGGCTTCAGAAGTTTACGAGATGGCCCAATAACAACAAATTTTGCCGCACCAAGATTACAAAGGCCTTCCAGCATTACAAAAAGCTACACAGCTGTAAAAGATAAGTTTAGTAGCATGCGTGTGTGTTAGTATCCTCTGGTAGTGTTTTCATCTTACTAATACATATTTTTGGAAAGCTTTCTCCATGTTGAAGATTGGCAGCTGCCATCTCATGTTCAGTGGCTTGTTTTCTGGAAACCTAGCATTGAGATAATATTGTGAAGGATAGGAAAGCAAACTACCATAGCCAAACTTGGGATATATACTTGACTAAGATTTATGAATTAAATTTGTTCGCTTTCAGTTACACAGTTCATATCTGGCAAGATCTACTTAGAGCAAAGCCTAAGACTAAGTCAGGTTGGGATTAGGTTAGGTTGAGTAAGGAAGGGTTGGTGAATATGGCTGGGATAGTAAGATTGGGATGGTGAACATGGCTGGGAAAGGCTATGTAGCAAGTAATATAGATAAACGTAGATAGTAAACGATAAATCCTGAATTAGGCCTGATGAGGTTGTTTGTCGTTGTTGTTAAAGATTCGCTACCTAGAACAAAAAGTTCCAAGTAGCACGGGCTATGGTGAGCCCGTAGCCTGATAAGGACCAAACTAACACGTCCCTTTAGATCCTTCTCATGCCATTAATAACGAGTGATCTACGCATTTGCATGCATACAAACAAAGCCATACACCTAAACATAGGCATACACACATGAAAATGCATATACACGAATGAATTCGAGGAAGCGGTCCATAGAATTACCCAAATCGACCCAAATCAGCCCAAAACTACCCAAATCGTCTTAGCATTACGTAAGTAATGAAGAAATATGGTATATTTACTTACTATAATGTTGGTGCTACACATAGAACATGATCAAACCTATTTTTACTCTGAAATAATCTAATTTCATAACGAAATTAGACGTAAATATGTGAGAGGTGACGCCATAGGAAGTCGACGGTCCAAGCGACAATTGTGTGGAGCGACTTATCCAAGATATATGGTCGCCAGGAGAGTGTTTGCTGCCATATCAGCCTCCTGTACACAGTGATCCAGTCCTTTTCGTTCATTGAACACCGAACCCTACACGCCCTCTGATATATTGCTTAATTAAGAAATATTCACAAATAAAGATTATATTTGTATATGTTATCAGAAAGGCAGATATAAAATAGTTTTTGTGAATCCATCACAGAGATTATACCTTATTAGAGAGGAAAAATATTCATACTTTAAACAAGGCTTCATGGCCGACGCTCTCCTTACCGATATGGGAACTATGACCTTCCGAAGATCAATGTTAATTTAATCTAGATATTGTAATAAACGAAGTTTTCTATGTCATCATAAAGACATAAATATAAGCTGCATGTTAATAATTTGGCATAAATATAACTGAATTGAAAGTTAAGATATATGCCTTTTTATAGTTACTTGATGGCTCGCTCAGGGAGTGTGAAGGCCTCCACACAAGCCAATCAATTTTATAATTACTTTGCATATATGCAAAGTAACGCCATAGGTCTTTATGTCAGAATAAAGCCATGTAGACGATAATGTAACTACATTTCAAGGAAAACATGTCTTAATATAATTATTAAATGAATGCAAAGTTATGGTTAAATAAATAGCCAATACCACACAATCGCCGGTGTTCGGACACATGAATAGTCGCATTAGGTGAAAGGAAATGTACCCAACCATTTCCATTTACCCAACCAGTTTGTGCACCCTATACTCATCCTCTGTGCGGTAATTTATTGTGCACCACATACTCATCTTGTTACCAGTAGTTTGTGCAACCCATACTCATCCTGTGACCCGTAATTTATTGTGCATCCCATACTCATCCTGTTACCGGTAGTTTGTGCAGCCCATACCCATCCTGTGACCTGTAATTTATTGTGCAACCCATACTTATCCTGTGACCTGTAGTTTATTGTGCAGCTAATACTCATTCTGTGAGTCATAGGACATTGCGCAACCCTTTCTCATCGTGTGAATCTTTGTTTACTTTGCTCTCCATATTCATCCTCTGCGCGATAGTTTCTTGTGCAACCCATACCCATGATGTGAGTGGTAGTTTATTGTGTACCCTATATTCATCCTGTGAGTATAGGGTACACAATTCTTGTTTGGATTCTTGTAATGTTATTTGTCTATTTGTAGTCACAGTATTTGTGCACCCCTTGAGGGACTTGAATTAGAGGGGGGTTGAAATAGCCTAAGCTACTCTATCCCTTTGAGATGTATTTATTGCTTATCTCAATAAACACACTTGAACTTGAACTTGGGTACACAATGAGTTCATTTGTACTCCATACTCATCATCAAGAAGTGTATTTTACCAGCATTGTAATATAAATTAAGAATAAAAGCTTAGCTGGATTACGGACCCATAATCAAAATAAGAGTCATCACTAATTATCATGACAAATAGTCTAGGCTACACTTCCGCCTTCGACAAGCTGCCGCCGGATGTGGGTATAGTTTATTGTACACCCCCGCACCCCCAGTCCTGGAAGGGCGGGCATTGGGATGTGGACATGTGTACCATTATACCCCCCCCCCCCCACACACACACACACTCCTCTCCTGTTAATAATAATACTAATAATAATAAAAATTCAAAATAATAACGTTAATAAATATTATAATTAAAACACTTACTGTAATACCCTAGTGCTTGAATGAAAGTGAAGGAAAGACCCAATAAATGTGTAAGTGTATTAAAAACCAAATTTTCGTTGGGTGAGCTGGCAGGTGAGCACCACCTGCCAGCTCACCCAGTAATGAACATCACCTGCCAGCTCACCCAGTAATGAACATCACCTGCCAGCTCACCCAGTAATGAACATCACCTGCACACTGCACCGAACCACTTGCCAGCAGGTGCAGAAGTACGATGGAAAGAGCAAAGTATACAATATTTCAAGTATAATATTAAAGATATATTTAGCATTTAATGTTTTCCTATAAAGTTTCAATAATACCTTTATTTGATTTTTTGTATTATTTTCTACCACAGACGTGGCCACACATTAACAATGCTAACCAGCATATATACATTTTCTTCAGTCCGCCATGGACTCTAACCCTTTCCAC